CCCCCCCCCCCGAGAAAACAGAAACTCACATATATTCAAGTCTCCATGAATAATTGAGACCATGGACTTCAAGTCCGCTAAAATGGAGGGACAACTGTGTGTGTGTGTGTGTGTATTGCTGCATTGGGTGTTTTAAAGTTTTTAGGGTATAATTCACAGACTTCCCATTCACAATCTTAAATTTCCATGGATGGGAAGCCAGGAGGGGCAAAATGGCGTGTGCACCCGCAGCCATTATATCCAATGGGACTTTGATATTTGTGATTTTTCCAATTTGCACAGAACAGATCCCCCGCAAATCAGGCTTCCCTATACTTCTTAAAATAAGACATCCCCATTTTTAAGAAACAGAAGTAGACTTCTAGCTATTTAGGATGGGGTAAGTTTAACTCACACAATCTTTACACATAAAAGGGGCTTCTGGATCTGTCAAGGAAAGTCTAAGGAAAGTTAACAAAAGAAAGGCAGTGAATGCTATTATTGCACCCTAAACAGCTAACAATCATGAGTACATTTGGATTACAAGGTGAAAGCTTTTGCTTTGTTGTAAAAGAGCAACCAACTGTTCCCACTGTTCCTAGATACCCAATTTATCTCCAGTTTGAGGTCCTGAACCTTGATGATCATGGTGCTGCTCAAATCAGAACCTGGACACTCCAAACACATTGTGAAGGATGTCAACACGTCCATGAGTTGGAAAGGACAACTGACCACCTTTCAGCAGAACCTGGGGAGGGGGAGGAGAGGCAGAGCTTGGAAATTTGACTTTTTGGTCCACACAGTATGACTAGTACCCTGGCATCTGGATTGCAAAAGCAAGTAACTTTCCCAAACGCCACTAAATTGGCCTTTATATTCCAGTTGAGTCCAGATTCCAGAGGAAGCAGCTCATCTAAGGACTAAGGGAGATGGAATGCCACCGCCGCTATGGGGAAACCCACATACATTACTAACAGGAAACTGGAAGAGGAAGGAGCTGTGACCCTTTGTGGGCTTAGACTCCTAAATGATTATTAAACTGGCAGCCAATACAGCAGCTGCCCAGCAAAGCGGAAGGGAAGAAGAAGGGGGGGAAAAACCTTGCAGGGATATTTTTATCCCTCGTGTTTTGCTTTTCTTCATGAGGACCGTGTCAACGGTCACCATCTGCTACGTGATGTAAGCAAGGCTGCTCAAACAGGAAGCCAAACCCTTGCACTTTGGGTAGAATCAGTGCCCCCTTGCCACGTGTGCAGCCATTTCCCTGGGACACATTTTGGGAAAGGAAAAGGCCATTGGGCAGGCCAGATCTTCAAAACAATGGCACTGGGTTCAAGAAGCCATTTGACCTTCTAAATGAGGAGTGGCAAAATATGGCCCTCCAGTTAAGTGTGCCCTTTGATGGAAAAATTAACACAACTAAATGTGAATTATTTAGCATAAAGTGTACTTTGGCTTCTGGTAAGGTTTGTCATATCTGACGTGCCATTGCATTATAACATACTGAACTTTTCTTCTTAGCTGTGGACTATTGCCTTTCCGTAGATGCTATTTTCTTGGGGAAAATGCTCACGTTAAAGGCAAGGCACATGTGGCCATGTTGGACTATAACTCCCATCATCCCATGCCACTATAGGCAAGGGTGAGGAATGACAGAAGCTGCAGTCTAACCACTCTGGAGGGCCACCCATTTTCCATCCCTGTTCCCTATGCAGGAGAGAAGAGAGAATGTCACATTGCCTGCAATTGAGCATGATGTTTTAAATACACACAAGAACACACTGAGTGCTCAGGCTGGCAAAACACAACACACAAACTACTTGGAGTGCCTAGGAAGTGAGCACCAGTGATTAATGGGAACTTGACAGCATTTTTCAAGAGCAGAAAATAACTCTGGTAAAAATTTCACTCATTAAAATGCAGTTAAAATTGAAATCAAAACAGACTCGGGAGCATTAGGCAGATTTACTGAAGCAAGCAATAGGAAAACACATTGACTCGGTTTTAAAATATTTTAAAATTAAAAAAATACTTGCACAGAAAACACAGCAATGTTAGAAAGCATGGTATCCTAAGCCATCTCATCCAACCTTCTGCCATGAAGGAATACACCGCTAGTTGTTTTGTGTGCCTTCAAGTCATTTTTGACATATAGTGACCTTATCATGGGGTTTTCTTGGCAAGAGATTTTCAGTGTTTGCTTTTGCCTCCCTCTGAGAAGGAGTGTGATTTGCCCAAGCTCACCCAGTGGGCTTCCATGGCTGAATGGGGATTCGAACTCTGGTCTCGAGTCCTAGTCCAACACTCAAACCACAATACCATGCTGGCCTCCCAAACACAGATAGAGCACTCCTGAAAGATGACCTTTCAACTTCTGTTTAAAGACACTGAAAGGCAAATCTATCACCTGTTGAGGTAGTCTATCCCACAGTCGAGCAACTCCTACCAACAAAATGCTCTTTATATAGTTTACACAGGATCTCTTTACTTGTCATCTGAATCCACTCCTTTGCATCCTTGTCTCTGAAGCAGCAGAAAATGAACTTGCTCCACCTCCTACATGACATTCCCTTCATATTTAAAAATGGTTATCGTCTAACTTCTCAATCTTCTTTTCTTCAAGCTAAGCATACCCAGCACTCTTAGCTGCTCCTCATATACTGGTTTCCAGATCTTTAGCATTTTGTTATCCTCCTTTGGATGCATTCATTTGTTACTATCCTTTCTGAACTGTGGTACCTAGGAACTGGAACTGGAATCTGTATTCCAGGTAAGGTCTGACTAAGAATAGAGTTACTTTCTTCCACTTGGAAACTTACAAAGCTGTTGAACATCTGGCATTTGCACTGGTTGAAGTCTGTAAGTCTTACAAGAGGCAACTGTGAATCTCCATCAATGTATGTGTGGCTGGGCTTTGCTTATACCTTCATTAGGAATGGAGAAAGCTGCCACATCCTGACGTCAAACTAAATCTCAGGTGTGCTACCTGCCATATGTTGTTGAGCTACAACTCCCAGGAGCTCTGGCCAGCACAGTCGAGAGAGAGCTAACATTTCTAGACGCTGATTTACATGGAGAAAGTTCTAGGTTCAGTTCCTACTATCTTTAGTTGAAAGTATGTCACTGGGAAAGACTTTAGCCTGAAAGTTTGGAGAGCTGCCA